GAAGACGTTTCAAAATTTTTCAAAATATCACTAACCGTGAAGCGGTAGGTGACTTCTGAGGACTTTCGAAATACCACGAGCCGTTGTTCATTCCAAGTACCCCGCAGATATCATGCTATTTCTTGTTCATACCACAAATAGAATCAAAGGGGGGTTTTCTCGACGCCGTTGTCCTCTTTAATGAATAAAAATATCATCTTCCACCAAACATGTCACGGTGGCCTGGCAGCTTCGTAATCTCGTGATGCGTCAAAGAAATCACATTGTCGCTGTTATGGACTTTCATGACTGGCTGCCAACTGAGGAGCCCTTTGGGCCACAACAACTAAATCAACACGTGACTTGGAGAGAGCTGTTCTAGAATAGTAATTAAGGAAAAGTATTAGTTATGGTAAGAAAGCGGTGGAGTTGTGATCATTATTATAATATGACTATGGTTATCTTCGTTCTGGAGGAGACTGAGTGGAACATGGGAAAAAATTTTAAATCAAATATTGCTTGAGATGTTGATGGGAGCAACTTCAGAATACCCGGAAACTTTTGACCATTATGAATGGACTACTCCCGCGGTCCCGATATCCCGATGTCGAAAAATAAGATTAAAACAAAGGACATTAAAACAAAACAGTTCTCCCGTTGTCCCGCTCTCCTGAAGTCCACGGATAATTAAAAGAGAGGGAAATTAAACAAGTGCTCTCGTAATTCCGCGCTCTCGAAGTCGAAGAATAATTAAAAGAAAGGGGCAGTTTAAGTAGTGTTTGCACAGTCCTGCGCTAATCTTCTTTCGTTTTCTCGACTGAGAGATATTTCATTGCTATATATGAGTTAATTAGGGATCCCATTTTGAATTTTGTAGAAAAAACGAGGTAAGAATGACATTTGCAAGAATTGTGACGTCATCTACCTTACATACATGCATCCATACATACGTTAGTTGACCACTTCCCATGGGGGCTTTTCAGGGCCAATTCCCACCCATCCCACCCCAGAGGAGGTCATCCACTACACAGTAATCTCCTCACTTATTTTAAGACCATGAGTATCGATCCGGCCGGGGCTCGAACCCTCGACCTCCCGCACAACACAGTCCGGCGCTCTAACCAATTGAGCTAACCGGGTTCTTTCGTGAGGACTTTTTCGCAGTGATCGGTCGGAGTTAGAAAGGTCGCCAAGGAATCTTTCCTACCATTTGCAAGTTGAAACGTACATGTTTCGTGTAACTCTCCTTCACTTCAGTTACAACGCACATAAAGTCAACTAAAGGCCTAATTTGGACTCATCACGTAACGCTCTCTCTTTTAACGCTGCGCAACGAGACCAAACAGCGACCTGCCCGTAGGCTATGATAATGCCGGCTTACTACCGCTTCTTCGTCAGAGACAGAGTTTTAATCATTATTCTGGCCGTAACGGGCCAGAATGAGAAATTTCGCTTGGTTTTTCATGTTCACGAAAATGCACAATAGACGTAACGTAACAGTTTTTATTAGCGCAAAGCGATGCGGCGGACATAGCGTGGATCATGGAAATCAATGAGGACTCTGGCGATTGGACCCTTCAGTAGACTACAAAAGAAGACGAGACAAATACACTCTGACAAAAAAAAAACATGCGGAAGCCACTGCTACATATCAAATGTATTTTTCAGTCGGCAAAACGTTTCACTGTCATCATTTCAAATATGTTACTCTGTTAGTCTTAGCTTAATTTTATTTTATGAATAAGTTATATCTGGTCCTACGTCCTGTAAATAGATTTCAATTCTAAAAATTATTAATTTTAACTTGTATCTTTTTAGTTACATGTTGAAGGTATTTTTTCTCAATTTTAGTTTTTATTTTCTGTTTTCTGTCAGTTATACCTGTAAACTAGCTGGTGAGTGTTTTTTTCTCACAAACTGAGCTAAGCATATGGAGAAAATAAACTTGACTTAAAACACACAGTAGGCTTTCGTTTGCTGTAAAGCAGAAAATACTGAGAACGGCCACTAACCTCGTAATGCATACTGGTTGAGTGTGGTCCTTTAAACACGAAGGCGCGCTATAAAAGGAGAGGTGCCTCAGGTACCTCTGGACCATTTGTCAATCAACCGTCGTGCGATGTAGAACTCTAAGAGTCAAGTCAGCTTGAGCTATAGCTAATCCAAAGCAGTGAACAGCGGACGCATTCCTCACAATGTTTTCATCACAATACAAGAATTGAGGTATGTATTTCATTTCTCCAATGGAAACTGTCTCTATTTGTGGCGGTAAATTTGAAATCGAAGTAGGTGGTTCACACGTTACATCATTGCCACTATGCTGGTGCAGGTATACATCTCATTAGGGGCCGACCATTTAACTTTTGAGGGGGGCTGGGTGATTTTGAAAAAAAAATTCCTGCAAGGGCTTTTGGAAGAAAAAAATTGCATGTAGCCCAAATGTGACAGAAAAAATGTACCAAAAAATCGGAAAAATATCCTGCACAGCAGATTGCTAGAAAAAAAATTTCTTGATGACCAGAAATCACCCACCCCCCTCAAAAGTTAAATGGTTGGCCCCTTAGCTCCTTTTGTTCGTCTACCAGGCATCTAAGAAGGGACCTCTCTTTTTATAGCGCGCCTTCGTGTTTAATAAACTGAGTCCAAATGACCTTTTTGCAAAGCCCTCCACCTGTATTCATTCATTCATTCTTTTATTCACACTTATTCTACTAAAAATATAACAACGAGATAGAGAAAAAGTAGAAAACAAAAGAAGAGAGTTCTAACTATACATGAATTTACACAAAGCAGTGGAAAGAGTGTGTAGTAGCCAAAGAAGCCAAGCTTTCGAGTTGGCCACTACACTGTAGCCCCTCAAATGTCAATTATAGCATAAAATGCCGTTTCTATGTTCCTTTTTATCCCCATCCGCGTAACCTGGGTTTAAATGGGTTTGTTGTGATTTCAACAAAGTTGGCTTTGTTTTCCGGTTCTCCAAATGAAAGGGTCCTTCTCGAAAGCGAAATTTTTGTGCTAAATAATAGAACGATCTTTTATTGACCAAGCAAGTTCGGTCTCGACGGCTGGATCATAGATTCAAGTAGTTCAAATGCTGAGACAGATGCAGACTTTGGGAATAGTGAATGCTGATTTACTGTCAGTAATGAAAGCCATTAAAGCCAGTACAAATCTCTGATAACGGTTCTTGCTATATTAGTTGACAAGCAAGCGTTTTTTTAAAAGTTATTACTATGTATAATTAATTGCGTTTTTTAAGTTCGTGTACCGAATAACTAAGTCACTTTTAACAATCTTTACTGGTTAGGTATTATGATGAAGAAAAGGGAGGCTGTTTGAACTGTTCAAGATGCTGTGGTGATCATGCAGATTTGGTGGTAGCTGAGTGCAGAGAGAAGTTGGGAGCTGGCTCAAGTATGATCTGTTCATTCAACAGTAGTGTAAACCGCTGTTACAAAACATCTCAGCCAACGCACACTACCATCCAAAACAGCCTGACCCAGCCGACACCCACGGCCATCCTTGTTAGCCTCTCGCCCCCCAGGGTAGATGATCCTTCCAAACGGAAATTCCCTTGGATAGTCTTCGGGGTTAGCGTATCAAGTTCACTTGTTCTGTCGTTTGTGCTTACCGTTGTTTGGAAATTGTTTAAGAGACTGGCAAAGTTTCAGAAGAGCTCTAATCGTACTTCTGAAAAGGTAACGACTTGTGAGCTACCGTTAAAAGACCTGGTGGAGGAATTATCGTTAATAGTGCAGGATACATCGCCTGAAAGAACAACGCTTGCTGGTAAGGATGTGAAGCTTATCTTTGAGTTCGTATTGACGAGAATAATTTTAAACATCGAGCTGAATTATATGCCTATGTACTTAATTTTCCGTTACGTACCTAGAAATCTTTTTATTCCGAATTTAAAGGCTTTTTCGATGGATACGAGAGTCGTGTTTTTATAAGTACCACATTTATTTTGGTTGTAAGCTGTGGGATTAACCGATATTCTTCCGTCTTGCTTCGCAGCCTTTCTTGCACAATTTTTCTCCTCACATCATAGTCCATATTGGTAAGAGAAAAGTCATGATCTCCGTAGCTCCGTTTAGCCAATCAGAAAGCCAGAAACTTATTAACCGTGCTCCAGCTTTTACTAGGTTCCCTTATACTGTATTGATGACGAAAGAAATTTTTGGTAGTCTGTAATTTTTTGGCTGTTTGATTATCGTAGGTAAAAATTGGCAGCTACATAGGTCTGTAATACCTTTGCAGAAAAAATTAATCCTGTACTTTTCTGAGATAGCAGAAAACTCGTTGAAGTCACCGCTTCATATCTTAAACTGCGTTCGGTCTAACTGACACATATGTTCGCATAAATTTCTTTCTGAGGTACTTCGGTTTAAGGCAGAAAACCTGTACAGGTTTTTTCAGCGGCTGTAAACGGAAGAAGACCCCTAAACATACGATCATCGCGTTACAGCGCAAATCATGTGGCTATTGAGCGACTGAGTCGAAACGTGACATAGGAAGATGAAGCGAGATTCGGATATCTGCGTCTGAATTTGAAAACTTTTTTAACCTGTGTAGTGCCGTGTATAGCCGCCACTTTTAAACTTCCACTCGGCTTAACTAGTTGACCAGTGAGAACTTAAAGTATAAACTAAGCTAAATTAAAATAATAAACACACACACAAATACACACACACACATGCACAAACAAGAACTGCGACTGTTAGGAACAGTGAACAATGCCTTATTTCGTTTAGTTGTTACTGTTCTCGTTCTTGTTATTGTTCTTGTTGTGTATGACCAGAAATGACTTCACTAAATTACCCAAAAGGTACTTTGTACTCCTAGGTATCACGTAGATTCTTAGTAGTTAAATATAGCGATCCTGTACGCGCTCGTTTCGGTTGACGCCGTAGTTAAGCCTGGAGTTTAAGTGGAGTGATTCTTAGAATAAAGGAGCTGATTAACTTGGACACGTGTTAGTGCGTTTTCGACAAATTGGCGACCACGATGGGAGGGCTAAACGAGTATGGAAAATGAAGAGGCAGAGTTAAACACAAAAATTAAAACGTTAAAGTTTAGATTACAAAAGACAGACGAAATCCTCCAAAAGAATGATCGAGCGGCGTTAGAGAAACACAGAGCTTCTTTTGAGAGTGTGGTGACCGCAGTTACGAGCCTGAAAGAGTCTATAGAGGAGAAGAAGTTTGCTGAAGGTGAGGATGAACAAGCCGTTCAAGAATGGGCGGAAGAATTTGAAGAATCGGTTGACGAGGCGGATAAATGCATGCGACAATTGGCAAGAAAAATAGAGCTGATCCATGGGAAATCTAAACATGAAGCCGTCGTCTTTGAGCACAAGCAAGCTATCGCGCTAGAGAACGAAAAGATCGAGCAACAACGAGAAGCGAAAGAGCGTGCGTACGCAGGAGCGACTATCGATGTGGTTAAAATGCCGAAGCTTATAATCACTAAATTGGATGGAACACCTTAAGATTGGATGCATTTTTGGGGTCAGTTTGAGACGCAGATTGACAAGTCATCTGCTTCAGAAGTAACAAAGTTTTCGTATTTGAAAGTATTACTGGTTGTGAAGGTCCGAAATCTGATCGACGGACTTCGGTTCACGGCTGAAGGCTATCAAAAGGCTAAAGATTTACTCGCGCGACGCTATGGCAAGATCAGTGAAGTTGTGGGAAGTTACGTTCGGAGCATACTCGAGCTGCCGACGATCAAAGAGAGAGAGGAGAGGAAGATTCACGAATTCTACGAGGTCCTGCTATTCAACATCGAATCCTTGCGGACTTTGGGAAGCCTAGACAAGTTGGATGCTATTTCACACCGAGGGTTAGCGTGCTACTGTAGTAGAAGATACACCAAGAAAGATAGCCTCCACGGGATCTACCAGTTGTTTTGAACTAATTTTAATGCGTAATTCCACACAAGCTAGCTAGTCAACTAAAAGCAAACGAATACACGTGAGTCGACTAAGCACCATTCTTTCAAAAATCACAATTCTTTAGGAACAGATACTCGATTAAAAACTTCCTCTCTATATTTTAGATATAATTACAATTCTGTAAGGCGCAATCCCGTTTAAGACAGGCTATTTTCTATTTGTAGAGACACGATCACACTGCTTCAATAACAGAATTCTCTACTTTTTTGATTTCCGATTGATTTCCCCCGATCACGTAGCTAAAGGGCTCGCTCTCATCTCATTCAGCCTTGGCCCAGCGCTAATGTGGTTAAAGGATTATATTCGATGACAAAGGAAAACAGACGCGCGTTTGCTGTCTTAGCCACAAGTATCTAAAATTAAGCATTTGTCAACGGCGTGCAAAACAGATGCCACAGTAAGATTTACGTTTGACAAACTGGGGGTCATAAAGAATGAACTTGCGATGATTGATGAGCAATGGCGCGAGTGCTCTTTTACGCAGTTCCTGGAAGCGCTGGAGAAATGGACTTTGAATAATCCGCTCTCCAAAGCTCCAAGATCCAAGAATATGGGAGGTCGTCAAGAGAAGAGCGAAAATTCGAGGCTATTTTACTCCCCAACTGGCGATCGCGACGCGACGACTTCCCGCGGTTGTTTGTTTTGCAAAAGCTCTGATCACAATGCAATCAATTGTGATAAGATCGTGAATTTGGCGGAGAGAAAAAAAGATCTTTCTCGAGAAGCGTCTATGCTTTAACTGCACAGGATCAAAGCACAGAGCGAAAGACTGCAAAAGCAAATCGACTTGCCGAAATTGACGAAACTGTAACTCTCGGCATCACATGTCATTATGCGACAAATCGAACACAAGTGAGCCTGGAGTGACAGCAAATAGCGTCGGAAATACTGTGGTAATTCAGCCTGTTGTCGTGTTGAAGATTGGTGGATTCAAGTTCAGAGCATTACTGGACAGCGGCGCAAGCCATTCGTACATTTCATCAACCGCAATTGATTTAATAAAGGTACGCCCTAAGTCTACAGGTTTACGAGAAATCGCCATGCTGACAGGAATCGCAACAAGAACCAAGCCAGTATTTGATGTGGTCATAAGTTCCGTCGCCAGCGATTTTAAGCTCGACGTGGACATTACGAAAGTAAACAAGAAAGAGTTATTGGTCCTGGAGAATCCTGGCTACAAGCACTTAATTGAAGCAAATCTACACCTCAAGGGAGTACGAATGGATGATGAAGACACGAAGCAAATGCTACCCGTTCACATCACATTGGGCGCCAATGACTTTGCCAAAATACGCACTGGGGAGCGGCTGAGAGTAGGACGCCGGGGAGATCCTGTTGCTGAGTTCACCAGATTTGGATGGACAATTATGTCGCCTGGGGTTTGATAGTGGCTTATCGCCTGCCCTGTTGGCTGTAAACTCTAATGCTGACTATGAGAAGTTGTGCGCTCTTGACGTATTAGGGCTGGCGGACTCTGCAACCGGAGATCAGAGTGCTGTTTATGATGAGTTCAAGGAATAGTTAGTTCGTTCTCCGGAAGGATGGTACAAAACTAGGCTACCTTGGAAGGGAAACTGCCCTCCTTTGCCAAACAACTGGGAAGGAAGATTACGCAGATTAAACACTCTTGTACGGAAGCTGAGGAAGACTGACCTGCTAGATGAGTATGACGCTGTAATCAGAGAACAGCTGGAAGAAGGTACATTGGAGCGAGCACCTGTTGAAGTTACTGGAAGAGAGTTCTTTCTACCCCATCGTGCTGTTGTAAGAAGAAATGCTAAGACAACGAAACTGCGAGTGGTGTACGACGCGTCTGCGTGTGCGCAAGAGAAAGCCCCGTCGTTGAACGATTGCCTCCATGCTGGACCTCCATCACAAAACAAGCTGTGGAGTGTCGTTCGAAATCGATTCCATTCTGTGGTAGTGGTTGGCGACGTTCGTCGTGCATTCCGCAAGTGCGAATCCGAGAAACCGAGAGAGATGCCCTACGATTCCACTGGATCGCGGACAAGACAGCCAAGCAAGTTGAAACGCTGCGTCTCACTAGAGTTGTTTTTGGTCTTGCCCCTTCGCCATTCCTTCTCAATGGAGTGATCCAGCAACATCTAGAGAATCTGTTGTCCACATATCCTGATGCTGTGAAAGAGATCCTTAAACACGAAGGCGCGCTATAAAAGAAGAGGTCCCTTAGGTGCCCGGTAGACGAATAAAAGGAGCTAATGAAATATTTACTTCCCCCAGCATGGTGGTAATGATGTAACGTACGAGCCACCTACTTTGATCTCAAATTTGCCGTCACAAATAAAGACAGTTTCCATTGGAGAAAGGAAATACAAATCTCAAAAATTCTTGTATTGTGATGAAGACTTAAAACAATTTTGAGGAATGCGCCCGCTGTTCACTGCTTTGGATTAGCTATAGCTCAAGCGGACTTGACTCTTAGAGTTATATATCACACGATGGTTGATTGACAAATGGTCCAGAGGTACCTGAGGCACCTCTCCTTTTATGGCGCGCCTTCGTGTTTAAGAGCCTGTACGTGGACGACCTGCTCTCTGGAGGGCCTACAATCGAAAAGGCGAAACAGCTAAAACGAGAAACTACCGAGATCTTCGCTGATGCCAAGTTCGAACTGCACAAGTGGCATTCGAACAGAAAAGAGCTTCAGACAGCCTGTGAAGACTACGAGCCACCATTCGCCAAGGAGCAGTTAGAGAACACACCGGCAAAGGGAGAATGTAAACTCGTAAGCGTTGGTTGGGACAAGTTCGAAGATACTCTGTATGTGTGTTTTCCAGCCACACCAGCCGAGCAAACGAGGCATGGTATTCTGACCAACTTGTCTAAAGTGTACGACCCACTTGGAGTGGTGTCACCTGTCATGCTGGGAGACCATGAAGAAATGGAGAAAGTGGGAGAGAAGTCTACCTGAGGCAGTGTCAGTGAGACGCAGTATTCCTCTCTACCAAGAAGAAATTGACGAGATTCAGCTCCATGCTAGCGGTCGGGGAGTGTGAGCACAGTTTACGCCGTGGTCAAGTGGTGGAGTTTCTAAGATTACATTTATTATCACGGGAAAATTGAATATCAGGGCTGAGAGAATGAAGGTCTTGCAGGAGCTCCATCCAATATGAATAGCACAAGTTTGAGCTCTTACTGATATCAAAGCCTCTAGTGATAACGTTGAATTGCTGTGGCAGTAATTTAAATTTCAGAGTGCTTGCAAAGTTCATTTGTTCTCTTAGCCCTTAGTTATACAAAACGTACATTGAATCTCATTTATTTGGGAAAAAATATTTTGAGTAAAGATATATAATAGTAGAGAAGTATAGTGAGTAAAACGAGCATATTGAAAGTATTCAGTCTAGTTACAGAACCTTTTAGCCAATATATTCCGTGCATATGTATTAAAAAAAAAAGTGAATAAATAAAATAAATAATTATCTAATTTTAATGTGGCACCACACTTAGCTACAAGCTACTTTCCAGCAGGAGGCCCACAATAAACAACAGAACAAATTATTCAAATTGAACATAAATTGTTAAGAATCCCAACTGGCCGGAGGCAAACCAGTTGGCTATTTACAAGCGTGGACGAGGATTTGAACTCGGAGCTACCGTGAAACAAATCCAGGAAGTGGCCAGAGCGGGACTCGAACCCGGGAGCAGCGGATTACGAGTCCGACGCGCTGACCACTCGTCCACGCTGCCTCTTTAAACGTATATTGTTCTGATTCATCTTTGTTTCAGATTCCAATTCGTTCATCACATTCTTCAACGTATATTGTTCTGATTCATCTTTGTTTCAGATTCCAAGCCTCTAAGAGACTTATTAAACTCTAGTGAACTGGAAGAAATCTGCGAACTTTTAGACGCACCCGTCTGTGGAAAACTTCCCTATGAGGCAATTTCTCGTTGGTATGGTGCCAGCCACACCAGAATAAAACCGAGGTTTCAGGAGGGAAAATCAGAAGCAGTAATTGCATGGTTGGTGGCTGAAAAGCCAGAACTGACGGTTGGGGAGTTTGCTACTGTGGTGAAGGATAAAGCAAGGAGAACTGATGCTGCTGATAAGTTAAAAGCATTTGATGCAAAGGCCACAATAGAACTGACATGTGAGATGCATATTTAGTTGCTATTTGATATATCTTAACTGAATATTTCATCGTAAAATTTCTTTGAGTTTCATTGGGATCAAGTTGAAAATGCCCACGTGAGGGTGTTGGTAATTCTATTCCTCATGATCAGGACCTCTATGTATGCGCCCATGCACTTACCTAACTGACATTTTTGGCAGAATATATTTTGCTTCCTTTTTGTAGGCAGAATCTCCGCCTGGATTTGAGCTCAGCTGAGATTTGATCAGTTACTTAAAGGAGCGCTCTTATGAAACCGCCCTATAATTTGAAAACCCAAAAAACTCAGTTATTTTATTATAATATGAATTTTTAGCGATTAGTAAAGCCTTTCATTAGTAATTTTTTAGTTGAAAGTCAATTCTAGGGCGAGAAATTCCGATTTGAAACCGTTCCGCCATCAATTTTCGTAATCACTTGCCAGACTCAAGAAGACTGGCGCGAGTTTGGAGCGTGACTTAGATAACTCATTTGACGCGCCGTGCTCGTGGCTAATTTACAAAAACAGTATTTTGATCGTATATATTGCTTTTATAACACTAAGACTAAGGCTATTTCACTATATTTCACGAGGTTTCCCTATAAATATAAATGACGCCAACAGTGTTGAGTAATTAACGCCTAATTGTAAGATGATTTTAAAAGTAACAGCTTTTCAATTGAACCGGCATTTGTAATTGTCTGACGTCAAATGAATTCAATGTTTGATACTCCTTCATCCATAAATTGTGTGTACTTATACATTCAATAGATCATTAATAGCATGATTTTCATGCAGCTAATGTGCTACCTGTAGAAATGAGTAGATGAAGACTTGTACCAGTTTCTTTCTTTTTATCTTGATGGGGGAGGGGGGGGGGTACTCGCATATATGGGCCATATAAGTACGTGCCGCGGAATAGGGTAAGGGTTTTGCGGTTCTCGGTCCTTAAATAGGGTTCTTTTTTTACCCTTTTGTTTTATGTCCATGGTGTGGTCCTTAGATAGGGCAGCTTAATTGTATTATCTAATACTGGAGTGTGAAAACACCAGCCTAAACGCACGATTTCATGGTTATGATTGCATTTTATTAAACTAGGCTTATTCTAGTATTATATGCTTGATGCAATATACATCCAGTGTTACAGAGAAGAAATAAAGTTTTCCTTTTCATACTAGTAATAATTTTGTTTTCCCCTTGAATAAGGTGTCATTTTTCGGATTTGGGCCTTAAAAAGGGTATCAGTTTTCGCTTTCTTAGTCCTTGATTAGGGTTAGGGTTCAGACAGCAGAGTGACAATAACTCTCCAAAAAGAAACAACAACTTTGAGTTTAAATTTACAAGACATGTTTCGACATTCTCATGTCATCTTCAGTTGCAAATGAGCACTTAACTGTTGTACATTTGAATTTATATTAAGGTACGTTACA